GGATAATTTTGGATCATCTTGTTTAAGTGTTATGCCTCTTGTTTAAATTAATTCAAACATTTTAAAAGTGGTGATGTAAAAATATGTTCTAATTTTTTGAATATGATAAAGTTTTGTAATGAGCTAATTTTACCTGAAGATATGTTTTTGTGTAGTAATTCATTTAACTTTTGACTTAACAAGGCCAAAATGTCAACATTAGATCTCTAAGCAACAGACAGCTTCAGGACTGATTTTAAATCAGATTTTGCCATTTTAAGCCTGTTCTTAAAAAAATAGGGTTTTTTTTAATATATTTTTTTGCTAAATCTACAGTTTGTGCCAAAGATGGCAAAGAAATAAACATATATCAAGTACATTTTCTGAGTAATAATTAATAAACAGCAGGTCCTGATGCCGGTGCAGTATCGAAGGCCTTAAAGGAACAGTTCCCATTTCCAAAACATGACATTTCAGAGTCGTATGACTTAATAAAGACGGTACATAGACCTCAACACTTCCTTCACTCATCCTCTTACTTTTTTATTTTGAAGAAAAGCTGCAGGATAAGCAGGCAGGTCAGCAGCCAAATAGTTCATATAGTTTAGTGAAGAGTAACAAAATGAGATCTGGATTAATTATATTGCTAAACACTGTATAACAGATTAAACTGACTATTTCATTGAAGCTTTCCTCTTGTTTACCTTTTTTTTTTAACCAGGTAGCATCCCAAACTCAGAGTACCTGCAAGACACTAATATACAGATGAACTCCAAAAAGTTTGTTATAGTTAATAAGGTAGGCTTTTTATAAACCACATTAAAGCACCATGTGTCTTTATTTATTGCTAACTCAGCACCAATCTTTCTATGATTTATGGTTTACTGCTTTCAATTATTTGGTTATCGACAATCCAATTGGCCAATTCACAGAAATAATCTTGTTTCCCCTTTTACAGTACATGCAAACAAACGTCCCTGATGTGTTCTGTGCGGGTGACCTGGCCTCCTTCCCTCTGGCAGTGGCCAAAAACCAGTTAGTCAACATTGGACACTGGCAGATGGCACAAGCACAAGGTAGTGGCCTAATACGGAAGCAACACGCATGAATTCTCAAAGTCGTCGATGGTTTATTGTTTCAATATTATCCGTTCCATTAATGTCTGTGTTGGATCATTCTTAGTCCTTTAATGGGGCTGAGATCATCTCTGGAGGTGTGGGAAAAAGTTTCAACAACTGTTTGACATTAGCTTTTACGTTTTTGCTTATTATGACTACAGTAATTACAATTTCATTCAGTTTATATAGCGTAATTTCATGACACATGTCATCTCTAAGCACTTTACAGAAACAATTCAACTAGATCACACAGTCAGACTAGTTTAAAGTTTTCTATCTAAGGAAAACCAGCTGATTGCATCGACTCATTGACTCTGCAGCATAACTTCACACTGAGCATGCATGCAATGACAGTAGAGAGGAAAAATCCTTTTTAACAGGAATAAGCTTCCAGCAGAACCAGACTCGGTGTACTCAGTGGGATACAAAAAAACAGACATACAAAGCGAGCATAGAAGCACTGATCTATCTAGGAGATGGATGAGACTAAAAAGGGAAGAAAAAATAAAACTGTCCCAACTTTATCATGTGTTTCTCTTCAGGGTGGTGTCACTGCCAAACAGGAACAATAACAACACAGCCTTTAGTCTAATCTAGTGGGATTATATGGTATATACCGAGAGAGAGTGAAAATATTGTTTTTGTTGTTTGTTTTACTCCTAAAAATTGTAAAACTGTATACAGCATTTGTGTTTAATCCACTTTATTGTGAATCCCTTGAACAAATACAGCCCAACTAATTGCCTTCAGAGATCATCTTATTAGTGAATAAAGTTCATCTGTTTTAATGTAGGTATTAATCCAACTTTCGTTTACTTTCTACTATATTCAACATCCCTTAAATGTATTTTCCTCAGTTTTTTTAAGCTTGGTTTGAACTTCAGGTCGTCATCATGATGTGTTGAGCTGCAGCTCAGTGATTTGCTACATAAACTGGCAGACTTATCTAATAAAGTGGCCTCTTGTTTCAGATTTACTTGCTTTTGTCTTTCCAACAATAGCTGCACCTTCTGCTATTGTTGCTTCATGTTGAATATGTGTTTCTTATTTCCTCTGTTGCTGCCTTAGGGAGGATAGCTGCTCTGAACATGCTCAAGAAAACAACTGAACTCACCTCAGTTCCTTATTACTGGACCGTCCTACTGGGTAGAACCATCAGATATGCAGGTAGGCAAACAGACTCATCAACAGTTTGTTATTGTGTAATCTTAGAGGCGTTCATAGACGCATATTATCCAAAAGCTGTTCATAACACAACAAAACTATGTATATGAAGATGAATACAATCCATTATGGATTTCCGTTCATATATTTCAATAGGATTATTTTATATGCATGTAAATAAATGATAAATCTGAGATTGTTTTTCAGTGTAAATTGTTCAAATTGAACAAGCTGTGGTCTTTTTCAGGTTATGGGGAGGGATACACTGAGATAATTTTGAAAGGAAACCATGAGTTTGAGGAGAGGAAGTTCCTGGCCTTGTACATCAAGTAAGTTAAGGGGATTAAATCTGCTAATCAAACAAGAGAAACTTTTAGCTCTATAAAAATGTTTTCTCTTTTTTTTTTTGTTACTTAAAGAAATGATGAGGTCATAGCAGCAGTGGGCCTGAATTATGATCCTGTGGTGTCCGCTGTGGCTGAGAGGCTCCTATCAGGGAAAGTCATCACCAAGAAAGAGGCTCAGTATGAAAAATGTTCAAATCATTCATTTCTTTCTATGTTTGTTTGTTTCTTGCTTTCCCTTCTTCAAAGGGAACAAAAGTTTTAAATAAGGAAGCTACAAATCAACAGTTTTTTTCTCTACTGTGTTTGACAGATCGGATGATCCCAGCTGGCTTCAGGTTACCTGATCTGCATCAAATCATCCATGAACAAGCAGCCACAACATCTTCTGTCTGCTGCAGGGTTCCAATGAAGGACAAGCTGTCTGGAAACAAAAATAGTTCATAGTTCTGTGTTTTGGAACTAGTAAACTTTTCACAATGCTGTCTTCCATCAGGGAGTCCAACACAACTGATACCTCAAACAGATGCAGCTTTGGGACTTTGTTAGTCCTCGTATTTATCTGTTTTTTAACCTAATAAATTTTATCTACATGGGAGTGTCTGAATAGTGTAGTTTTAGAGTCTTGTGTCATGGTGTAAACTTTGCCCTGGGTATGTTTTCCTTCTAAAAATGCAGCCTTTGGAGGGAATTGCTGGTAAAATATCAGTGGACTTGATGGCAGATGTGTCGTGCATGGGTCAATAAGTAGCAGAGCGGGCTTTGGACGGAGGGGATTAGCAGAACAGAGGGTAGGTGGTCAGCTATTTGAAACAAAGATGCTGAAATAGGCAACAGTAACAAAACATCACCGTTGGGGGGGTGGGGCATGGCCTGCAGGAACCTAAAAACAAAGGCGCTGTGTTACAAAAACTTCACCATAAATGTGTTTTACTTCCATTTATTAGATAAACTGTCTTTACCTGACAAACATAACAGTTATCTTTATCTATTTGCTTATTTATTTCATACAGATTATAGCTAGTTATATAGTTTCAGGGACACAAATATACATTTTAACATAAAAAAGACAATAAGTTGTTTTATTTTCATCTTCTGTATTTTAGATCAAAGTTATAAAAAGTATGATTTACATTAATGTATGCAAATTGTTGACAATAGCCATGATAAAGATACATTCCCCCAAAAAATTAAAAACAAATAAATGATTGGCCAATGGAGCAAGTCATTCAACCTGTTAAGACAAAATAATTATCGTAAGAGACCATACAATCCAATTCAGCATGAAAAAAATAGATGTTCTCCCTGAGCAAAAATAAAAGCTTATTTAACTTTGATAATAAAGGTGTCTGTGCTGATTTGTCATGAATCCAAATTTTTTTCTTTCATCATTGAAAAACAACCAGTGTTTTCTGGACTCAAGCTGGTTTTCTTTATGTTTATCACGTGAAAACTATCAGGTGGTGTCCTGCTGTTTGATTGGATCAAGGAGAACGTATCTATGCTGCCACCTGGTGTCCGTCTAGGGTATTGTTCCACCATTTCTGACACAACTGATTGGACATAAACAAGCTGGTGGTGTCAATTTTCTACTCCTGCCACATGTTCTTAAATCGATATAGTTCTGGACTTTGACTAGACCATATGCTTTAACCCAGACCAGTACATTATAGCTAAATGTTTAGTGGCATTGTCCTCTAAGAAAGTTCATCTCCAGCCCAGTCTCAGGTTTTTTTAGTCCACCGCTTAGTTTCACCTTGGACACAATGTGTTAGAGATGTGTATTGTTTATTGGTCCACCATGTAAACAAAAAAACTGCTTTAGTCACAGCTGATCGGGGTGCCTTCTGCTAAATGTTTGCCATTTCCTTTACAGTCCCTCATTAAGGCCTGCCCCGACATATGGCTGCTATCAAAATCAAAAAATACTCAGTCTATACAGATAAAGAATAACTTTTTAAAGTGAACATTTGTCTCTCTGCTCTCTTCCAAAAAGAATAAATTGAAAATATATAAGTATAATGTTTGCCCACCTAAATTATTCGCTAAGAAGTCGCTTTAGTACTTATTTCCATTTCAATTAACTTCTTGTAAGTTATTGTTTTTTCCCAGATAGTATATTTTTAGCCAAGCACTAAGGTAAAAACAGTCCACCACCACCAACCCTAGTAAAGACATCACAACTATTAAAGCACCGGTGAAACTAAAAGCTATTTTAGCAAGTGAAAAATTTTTCAGAAGACCTAGATGATTGCTTTTTCTCCTTTATAGTGGAAACGATGCAAAGGGACACAGAAAAATAAACTCAGGACTGGTATTTTCTTTTTTATCTCATCCAAATTATAATTTTAGCATTTAAACACATTTTTCTGTGTGAAACTATTTCTTTAGTTTGACAACCATTTGGTTAAATTTAAGGGGCTCACTTAATCATTGGCTGTTGTCTTGCATTTAATTATTTCCTTCAAGTGTTGAATTGTTTAAGAGCATGAGCAGGACTGTGGAAATCTTCTGATTCCGATATGCCGATTCAGAAGAAAGAGCTCCAGAGGTTCGTTTCAATGCATGGCAAAAAAAAAAAAAATACAGCTTGTTTGTAAAGTCAGTGTTAATTTGTGGTCCAGTGATTCCTAAAATGATAAACATTGCAAAGCCCTAATTTACTACTTAACTACAGCACCAACATTTTTTGTTTTTTATTAGTTTGCTGAAGTCTTCCGTTCTGCTGGGTTTCTTTCAACAATGCCTCTCTGTGTGTGATGTAACGCTGTCGCCTGCTGGCTCTATACCGCTCCAGCCTCTTCGCCTCTTCCTGCGGGTCCTGCAGCTCTCCTTCCCACCTCAGGCTCTCCCTGGCCTGGACGCTGAGTTCCATCACATGTGCAGGTTCTTTGCTGTCACTGGCTGTAGAAGTCTCTGCAACAAGACTTTTTGAATCTTTTAGTTGTTCTTCGTTGCTCACTGCACGGCAAGGGCAATGATCTCTGGCTTTTTTACCGGCAGCTCTGAGATCAGGAAGTTGAACCTGACCTGAATCCTGAGGGGGCAGCTGGGGTATTGAAGATAATCTCTCAGGTTTCTCTGCAGGCAGGCAAAATAAACATATAATCTGTTGAACTCGATTCCTCCATAGCAACACATACTTTCTATTCCATCTTGTCCACATTTTATCTCAGGTCTTTTCTTTTTATCTAACCATCCTAACAGTGCTTTGCAAAAATATTTTTACTCTATACTCAAAAACAACATAAAGTAAGAGGTTTGCTTGAGAATATTAATATATTAAAGGTATCACAATGGCCAGAAAACACAGCAGACAGGTTAGGGATGGAATCATGGGAAAGATTAAGATATAATAAGGCTTTGATTTTTTCCTTGGAGCATTGTTTTATGCCTCACAATAAAAAATAAAAATAAAAAAAATAATAGAAAGGGAACAGCACAACTGCACAAGCACCAGACCATGATGCACTCATGATTATTCTAGTGAAGCTATGGAAGAGTGACAAGAATAAAGCAGATGTAGAAAGAACAACAAACTAACAAAAAAAAAACAGATTTTTTTTTTAAACCAGGTTATTTCCCATGAAAAAAAAAAAAACAACTTATGTTCTTTACTGTATATGCAATAGGAGTAAGAGGACACCAATACCACACATCACTCCCAATAAATAAATGTGAAATGGACACAGTGGGAGCATCATGCTGTGTGGACGGACGCACCTTAAGGAATGTGGGAGATTGTCTGTGTTCATGGGGTTAAAATCACAAATATCTGAAACTTGAGAGGTTAATGGAAGATTTAAAGCTTTCCTGTGTCATACTGTGTAAAATTCAGGTGGGAAATGAAGTTTATTTGATGCATATTCAGTATGTTAGAAACCCTAGCAAGAACTAGTAGTTGATTAACAATTTCAAATAAAAAAAATTCAACAATTTTTTGACAGGTTGTTTACATTTTAATTAATTAAATAATTTTCCTAATTTTCGATAGTGTAATAAGTTTACTTTAGCAGAAAAGGTATTCAGTTATTTCAAAAGATTTTGGTATATAAATATGTCATCCATAAAACTAATATAATGCTATTCATGGTGTGCTTTTATTTTGTAAAGTGGGATATTACGCATATATGTTTAATACTTTCTTGCCTCTAAAGATAAAATAAAATATTACAATATTTACCTTTTAGTTTTTGGTCAGTAGCAGAAACCTTGTTCTTCTTTTTCTTCTTTTTTCTATTGTTGTTCCTGTCTTCTGGCATGATTGGTGCTAGATTTCAAGATGAAAGAGACACTAATTTAAAACACAATCTAATTACTTAAATGAATGTGACACTTTATGTTTTTACCGCATCAGCCTGTGTTTGTAAATTTCAGCAGAAGCTGCCGCGCTGCAGCTTCTTCTGTTTGTTCCGGAACCAACGCTTCACCATGGCAACAGGACACGCCCCTCTTAAAGGGGAATGCCGTGTTAGAGAAAGCTAACAGTACTAAGTTCATTTTTGTTTAGTCCATTTTAATGTCCACTGAATCATAACTTAAATTGTGATAATCTGATATGTGAAATCGATATGAAATTATCATCATTAACAAAGTGACTAAACCATTATGGGGCTTGATCTCACAATTTCCTGATGTGGACGTTCCTGCCTTTGCACAGAAGTTATAGGAAGATGAATAAATCCCAGCTTTATTTATATGAGGCATGTGAGATATGAGTTGATATTAAGACTATTTAATTGGCCTAAATTAAATAAAAAAGATTTTTTTTTTACTATAACCTCTAATAGGGCTGGATAATATGTCTTAAAGTCGTAGGGAAATAATATTTAAATTTCAAATCATTCCGGCTTAAACATGTATATAAATGTACTCTTTATCAAAAGATATTGTCGCAAAACTTAGAAAATTTCTATAAAAAAAAAAAAAATCCTGTCTTATTTTATGCAGGCCAGTTAGTTATACGTCAGCTTGAACACCTAAATTCGACCAATCATATGTCAACGGTCATCTGTCAATCAAACTTTTTCGGTCATCTTGATTCATATGTTGTAGCTAATATAAGCAATGGTTGAAATAAGAAATAAGAATCATTAACTTTACCACTGAGTTCCGTCCCAGTGTTAACAGGGATGGACGTCTGTGTCTTCGGCAGACATAGAGTCAACAGAATTGGCAGCGTTGCGAGGCAAGGGCTCAAACATGTACGTTCTGTAAGCCTTCTACACCAAATGAAGCTTCTGCTGTTCTGGCGTCCTTTTCCACAACACCTTTGTCCCCGCTTTCCTCCTCTAAATAACAAATGTATGACGGAGGAGACTCATCCATGACCTCAGACACAAAACTTTTCTCCTCTTGCATGTTTCCGCTGTCCATAGCATTTCTAAGTCACCAAGTTAATGCTACTTGGTCCCAATGTAATTTCCCATGGGGAACCAACTAGCACTAAGTTGCTAACTGGTAAGCAAGATGCTTCCGACAAACCGGCCACAACCCAATTTGCTTGCAAACCTTCCTCCAAAACGATCCCATCCCCTTGATAAATGACCAATCACATTCACTTTGTTCACTTGTCTAAAATGCAAGGTTGGAACAGCCGCTTCCCTACGACTTTAAAAATGTAATTTCAGATTCCCTTTCCAACCAAATATTTTTTTCCCCCCAAAAAATGTGTTTATTGTCTTTTATATTTCAAAAAATCTGATCATTATCTCTTTAATGCTTTGGGGTAATTTCCGTAGAGGATCAAAAGACAGCAACAGTCTCGTTGTCCTCTAGATCTGCTTTCTGAAGGTTTTACAAGACATGTCATTCATACTTAAGAGTTTTATTTTTAGGGTTTTTCCTGATATTTTTATGCATTTAGCATATAAAAAGTCTGTTTTGTCATAAGAAAAGATATAATTTAGGAAACACTGAAGAATATTCACATTAGCTGTAAACTGTAACAGAAAATCCCAAAGCTTAAAAAGGAACTTCAGTAATAAATTATCTGAAATGTATCTTTTGAAATTTTTGAAACTGTAGGTGACTGAGAGGCAAAATAATAATAATATTAATATAATATATTAGAAAGGGGAAAAAAGAAAGGAAAATAAAACGATTGTGGGAAGCTAAATAATGAATACAGATTATGTTCTTTTAAATGACTTTAGATGTTGCCTCAGACAGTTTCTACACAGAGAGGAATTTCTGTGTAGAAACTGTCCTAATTTCTGTTTACACACACAAACAGACTCATTTACTAAGTTGTTTACTAAATCATTAAAGCCAGCTTTGATACTTTGTAAAGAACTACTCTAACTGTTTCCATGCTAAGGCCACAAAATGTTGACTGAGGTTGAGATTTATGCAAAATATAGCTCAGAGTCAGATCTTAAACAAGTCTTTCCTGCTTCTGTGTTTCTCCACATCTCTGAGCTGCAGCAGAACTGGAGGAAGAAAGAGGATAAATCACAATGCTGAGTCAGAGATGACACGTAGCATTTATCCATGCTGGAGTGACAAAGTTCACAGTCTGACAGAGACACTATACATCATGTTTTCCTACAGACTTTCACCTTAAAACTGAATCATGTGCCTAATAGGATTCATATAAAACAGTTTAGGTAGCAAATAAATCCATGGCAGATGCAAAGAATAAAGGATATTTAAATAGAAACATTTAATATATTTCAGTGGCATGAGGGAATGAGATTTCCAATAGCCTGACTTTAGTACATAGTTGTTGCTTTTTATGGATATCTCTATACACATTCTTTTCTCTGCATGTTTCCTACTGGAAGATTGTTGGTAATTCACTGCTTTCTACCCCCAGATCAGTGAAAATTCATTTCATTCAGTTAATTTATATAGAACCATTTCACAAAAATTCTGAATCTAAAAAACTTTAAAAAGCAGGTCTAGCTGATTTTGTATTCTAAAGAAATAGCAACTATCTAAATGTAAAATAACTAAATCCAACCATATGGGCAGATTTTTTCTGGTGACACACAGGGCAGCTTATTTTTTACAGTAATAGAAGACAGTTAAAGTGTGTTTATAACATAGCTGGTTAAAAGCAGATTATGTAAGCAAGCCCAAACAAATGTAACCTTTGCAGCAATCCCTCATACTGAGCAGGTGTTTAGCAATAGTGGAAAGGAACGACTCCCTGCCAAGGAAAAAATGGATAGAAAAAACAACATAGTTCAAAGCAACAGCAGCTCTTTCGAAAAATTTATTTAGAAAATTCAATTCAATTCAGGTTATTTCTATAGTGCCAATTCACAACACATGTCATCTTAAGGCACTTTACAGTTCACCGGATCATACAGTCAAATTAGTTCAAAGTTTTCTATCTGAGCAAAACCAGTTGATTGCATTGATTAAATTGACTTGAATGCAATCCCACACTAAGCATGCTTGCAGCGATAGTGGAGAGGAAAAACTCCCATTTAACAGGAAGAAACCTCCAGCAAAAGAGACTAAGTCAAATACACAGCTATTAAGGTAATGGAATTTTCAATGGAAATGAATAAAAACTATGTTTACATCTCAATATGATTGAAGCTACCACCCTAATTTTTATTAACCTGACTCCGCGAGATGGATTTGCTCAGCATAGCCATCTGGAAACCTTCTGTAGAAGTAATTTTGGGAAGGGTCAA